TTTCTGTAGTATTGATTTTATTTTTTTACGGGATGAAGTTGCTAGCCTCACGCCGAACCTCACCCCACCTCTTCACCACTGGGCTTACTACCAGCCTCACGGGGTTTATGAGTGCGTTGGGTGGGTATCGAACCTTAGACCACATGAGGTATGGTTGGCGAGCGTTTTGCCACTGAGCCACTGATAGTGAGCAGCAGACACCTTCCGGAACCTTCTGATCACAAGGTGACCTCATATTCCACTCAGCCACGTGGACACGAATAAGTGTCGTCCACTAAGCCACTCCTACTGCAAATGTAGCGTCACCAATCAATAAATAAATAACTTGACCCCATCTGCTGAAATCAATTGAAGTAGGATGCACTGTGCAAGAATATGATAGTGCTAACAGGATTTATTGTGAATCAAAAACTGAGTCCAATCAAGCACAAATACACACATATATAGTTGTAAATCTTATCTACTGTGATTATTGTACAACCAGTGATCCCCTAGCCAATGTTAATTCGTCTGCTGATTATTATTTATATTATTATTATTCCTCTTGTTTATTGTGCACTTTAAATAGTACCAAGAAGTGAATGTATCGCCTCAGTGACATGGTACACACCGATTCATCTTTCAAATAACAAGCCTAAGTAATTCATCAATTGCTGGAGAGAGAGAAGAGAGAGTGCCAAACATCCCGGAGAATAGTCAAAAACAAGCAAAAGTACAATATGAGATTTTCACCACACGTGTATTGTTCTATTTTCTACGCTTATATCTTTCCGCTTCTCTTACCTTTTTGACAGACGCAGGATAATCATGACCAGTGATAACTATTTTGCCATTATTATTATTTGACTAATTTTTATTAGAGAATGTCGGGCTTCCTTTTGTGGCTCTCTCAGATAATCCTCAATAATGCTTGTAAATAGACACATTTGTTTTCATAAAAGTATAAATATAGACTTAAAAATAAATTTGGCCAGCGTTCATTATTAGTGATCAGTGTGCGATAGAGTGCACGTGGGCGTGTGTGTGGTCTCCTCCTCCTGCTACTACTACTCATTACCAATGAGAAGCCTATAGGTTGTACTTTTGAAATGAAAACATGCAGTCGTCTACAACTTCCTTTCTTTAATTATTCTATCGGATAATTTAAATTTCGAGATTCATAATGTTTGTTTCAATATAAATCTTGTTTATAACCTGATTCTAAAAGTTTAGAGATTGTTGATATGAGATGTTTTGGAGGCACAAACACGCGAGGACCAGGGAGGCTTTAGACCAGGAAGAGGATGTATAAATCATATCTTCGCCCTCCGACAGAATCTAGAAAATAGCCATTCCTACCGGTGTCCAACAGTCATTATATTTCTTGACCTAAAGGCGGAATTCGATTCTGTCGACCGAGAGGTACTCTGGTGATGCTTGGTTGTAAAGGGAATACCATGAAAAAACATCGTATTGATCAAGGCACTCTACTCGAACTCATACAGTCAGGTGAGGGCTTACAGCAAGTTGTCATTTTAAGTGGTGATGACTAGCGGTGTCTGTCAGGGATGCCCATTATCCCCACTTCTATCCAGTTTCATCATAGATGTACTAATGGACTTAATCCTAACTCACTTCAGCGAATCAAGGATTGACTTGCAACCACGGAATAATCTCGTTGACTTAGAATATGCAGACGATGTAGTCCTTCTAGGCCAGGACGCTGACAAAACAGAGCAGTCTTCTGAACACCTTGAGCAGCAATCTACGAATGTTTGGCATGTTATTCGCTCCCACCAAATGCAAGTTGACGTTACAGGACTGCACTACACTGACTTCTAGATTAGAAATAGGGAGTGAAGTGGTTGGTGGAGCGTGTTGACCACTTCACTCATTTGGGCAGTACCATCAGCCAGTGCCAAGATTCCATACTTTTACCAATAATACGGCGTGGAATTAAGCTATAATCAATATTTAAGAAAAACCATATTATGTAATGTGCGAAATGCAGAGTCTTCTGAACACCTTGAGCTGCAATCCAGAAATGTTTGGCATGCGATTCGCTGCCGCCAAATGTAAGATGATGTTACAGGACTGGACTACACTGACTCCTAGTTTAGAAATAGGCAGTGAAGTGGCAGAGAACGTTGACCGCTTCACTTATTTGACAAGTTGCATCAGCCAGAGTCAATGGAATGATCTCTGACGAAATCTCAGCACGGATACAGAGAACTAGTTTCGCATATGCCAGTTTACACCATCTCTGGCGTAGATGTGATATCCGAGTATCGACCAAAGGGTGGGTGTACTGGTCATCAGTCCGCTCCGTCCCCCTTTATGCAAGCGAGTGAGACCTGGCCATTGAGAGTGGAAGACATGAAAAGCTTGGCTAGCTGTCTTTGATCATAGGTGCCTGCGGTCTATCTCCCTTGTGGAGTTGTATAATAAGGTGAGCGATATTCAGGTTAGGCGTCGAGTGCTAAGTGAGTGACATGGGAAATCAATCGACGAGGCTGTGAAGCTACATCGACTGAGATGGTTAGGACATGTGTGGCCTAGTCATCGCCTCCGTCGACGGGGCAATGCTAGCTGACATAGGGTCAGGCTGGAAAAGAACTAGCGGCGGTCAAACAAAAACACGGCACCAGTCAATGAAATCCACAACAGTTAGTTTAAGCCACGTTAGGTGTACACTTCCTGACTAGCTGGGGTCCTCGGGACGGTGAAAACCAATGCTTGGAAACAATTGATGACATGGCTCAACGTGATCATTCTCAATGGCTGGTGCAGATGCATCCACTCCTTGTGATTTATGATTTCCAATGAAACTATATTGTTCTTCGTTATTACTATTCCTTTGTCTCACACCTCTGTTTACTGTATCTATTATGCATTTCTTCTACTTTCTTCTCTTGCTTTGTGTGTTACAAAGAGGGAGAGTGGCGACTTGAACTGCAACACATCGGTGCAAGGTTCTATCTCAAAAACAGACAGACAGACAGAAAATAAACCAAACAAGTGGGCATAAGTGTGAATTGTATTAGAAAACACTAAAAGTATCATTCATATATACACAGATTACAAATACAATAAGAGAATATTTACACAGAAAACATGAGATCGATTCCTAGGGAAGCAATATAAAGAAAATATAAAAAAGAAACATCAAGTAGGTAGTGGTTAACATTGAAATAATTCCATTCATTCCATTCTGATTAAGAGATTAGGAAATAAAAGGAATCATTTGTGTATTCATTACGAAATTAATACGTCAGCGTCCAGTGTCCAGTGAGTGGTAATAGCAGTCATAACTGGTATTGATTGGATTACGCTACAATAGAATAGAAGGCAGAAACAGACAACAGTATGAGTAAAGAAATATTAGTACCAGAGGATTGTAGATCTTTTCAACCAAAAATGAAAGAAATCTCAGCAAATATATTCAAGCAGATATCGCTATCAGCAGGGATTAGTAAGGACACTGTACGACAGGGACAGAAAGTTATGTTAGCCTAACAAGGTAGAAGAAGAATAAAGTTCTGTTGAAAAATGCCTTAAGGAAAACGGGTATCCAAAAGGAGGTTTGAATGTTGCTAGAATGTGAAATTAGACAAGGCTAACTGATTTGTAAGTGTGAGTGTAGAACTTGGGCACAGCGTTGTGTTAAAATGTAATTCCATATTAGATAAGTTTATTTTAAATATTACACACAATTATAATCCAGTATTAATTATTAATAACTGGACGACAAGGTTTCGAGCGTGAATTATTGCTATTCATAATCACACCAGTTTAGTCACATGTTCCTTCCTCTCTCTCTCTCTCCGTGTCCCTCTTCACCTTGTTGTTTGTTGACACTTTCCATATCTCTGGTATAGGCAGCATTGCGTCTTTCCGACTGCCATTGTGTGGTTTTGAATTGATAAATAAAGATTCCGTGATTCGCTTCTCTCTCTGTCTATCTCCAACTGACTATATTACTTCTTAATGCTCTCACCATGTGCCACCCCACCTATTGTGTGATTACATGCAAGTGGATACAGTGCAATGGCTGAGCTTTCTTCTCTGGGTTATTTAACTTGGTAGGGTCAATCATTCTATGTCTGGCTAAATTTTTGCGTTCCAATAATCTAGTTTACCTCGATCTACTAGTTTGAAGGGCCAATGTAATTGACCTCACTAACAGTCATTACATGGTATATGGTCAGTTATATTATTTTTCTTAGTTGGATCTATTGGGCCCCAATTAGATGATTGGAACATAAGAATTTAGCTACACCTAGAACAACCCATAGAAAAGCTCGGCCATTCCACTGCATTCAATTGCATGTAATCACACAATAGCGTGGGACAACTTCAAGTGAGAATGGTTACCCAGAGAAATTCATCGACAACAATATGAATCACAACCCAAAGTACCAACAGTTTCGAAAAACAGACTTTTTCCTTGCAACTTCATTTCCTCAACGATAACACCAGTGAGATAATAATACAACGCCTAAGGAATGCAGTGAAAAGAGCATTCAATGCCGCTGAAGTTTATGTATACTGTCTCTTTAAAACCATCCCTAATTTACGCCAGAAGTTAGAGATAAACTGTTTAATTCTGCGTCTTCTGTGTGTATCTACCGAATGGACTGTTCCCATGGGGAGGCAGTTAGCTGCATAGGCCGTACAATTAGGCGTATTTATCGTCACGTTTCCGAACACCAAATCCTGCATAGTGGTTAAGTAAGGAACAAACAAGGTCCATTCATAGTTCTATTCTAGCTCATCCCGTGGATTCAGGATAAAAGATTGCTGTTAACAAAGGTCTTCAAAGTGATAGAGTTGGAAGAGGAATTTACCGGGAAGAAAATTCCTCGCTCAAGTTCTCTTCTGTCTTCTGAATGCCCGAAATGGAATTAATTCATTCTATGTTAATAAATATACTTTACTAGAGTTGTTAAAAGAAGTTATCAAATTACCTTGTAAAGTTATGCTAACTGATGATTACTTGTTGATAACCACAATGTTAGTAGTTAATTGTCTACTTCAATTCCTGTCTTCGATTTATGAAATGCACTTTTATGTCGGTTTAAAAAGCGTTTACGTGAAAATGTTTTACCACATTGATCACATGAATGAGTTTCTCCTATGAGGAAAAAGCACAAACAAACAAACAAGAAACAGAGAAACGGTGAAACGATTTTCTTTATTCTCGAAACACAAAATTTAAAACAACCTTGAAGCATATCGTAAAATAACAAAGAGTATAAAAGAGCAGTTGTCAATATTAGGCTGATGGATTTCTCACCAATGATGTTGGTTGGTGATCGCGGTAAAAATCACGAATTGGTAGAAGTTAGTACTCGTGGGCAGGCCATTGAATCGGATCCAAATGGTTGAATGGTATGCTAGCTAGCTTGCCGTGTAACCGAAAGGTCACGGGTTTGGAGCCGGGTGGTGGGTGTGAACTGCTGATGATTCCCAAACTAGGGTGAAACAGCTGTCCAGTACTCCATGAACAATCCGTGATTAAACTCGTTAAGCCCGTTGACAAGGATGGGGGGGGGGTTGGACGTGAGACTGGCAACTCTACCGCGTGGAAAATATCCCGGTTACTAATGAAACTTCAAATTTTGAAGCTGATATCCTCAACTAGGGTCAAAAACAACTTTCAGAAAAACGATCAATGCCTCTGACAGAACCTTGCACAAAAGATAATCACTCTGTCTAACAGAAACACACAATGCATATCATCATAAAAACGACAAAAACAAACAAAACAAATATACATACCATTATGCACAGACTTTTTATGTTCTCTTACACTGACTGCTTTAGTGAATGGACGCTCGCATATATCACATCTAAATGGTAATCCTGTATAAAAAAAATAACAATAATAATAATCACTAATGGAATGTATACGATGCAGTTCTAAATTATTCAAAATGTTCATGTGCTAATTCCATATTAGTTTGATTATTAAATGTATCACACAGTGAAACAGTATTGTATACTGGATGACGTTTCGAACAAAATTTATTGTTCATAATCATATCAATTTTTGTCACACGACTTCGAGATTTGATTTTTATAGTTTTCTCTGTCTTCTCCTATTTGTTTCATGTGCTAAGTTTGTTTAAATTTTTAAATTAATGGATGTAGCGCGAGATTTGAAACTATTGATTCTTTCAGTTATAGTGTAAATTTATATATATGTATATATTGAAAGAACTCATATCCTTTACTGAGATTCGAACCCATGTCACTAGACGCATGGTAGTAGTTACTAACTAATGTCTAACTGAAAATATCCAATACACTCCTAGACGAGGTCAATCTCCAGCTTGAATAGCCCAGTAATAACATCTTTGACTGCAGCGCACGGTGCAATACATTCAAATCTCATAATGGACATGAGTTTCTTCAATATTGCAGATACGCTTTGCTGTCGAGTGAGAAGAAACACGAAACGCAGAAGACTTCCATTTGAAGACATCCAACCATAAAATAGCAACAATTCAAAGGCGCAGTAGTAGTACTTGGTGAAACTCACCTACCCGATGAAGAAGACTGCACACATGAATGATGAGGAAACCGATTATACTCAGTACACACACATGTGATCCATCACATTCGCTTGTTTTAAAAATTAATGTAAATGTCAAAAAGGAGAAAGAAACAAAACGAAACAGAAGTGGTAGTTACCTTCATGAACAACTTGAATATGTTCTCTGAGATGAGATTTACCATCGAACTTTCTTTCACACTGATCACAAGAAAACTTCTTGCCTAATGAACAGTTTTCAAAAACAGAAGAACATTTATAACAACAATAGTATTAATATTCAAATAGAGGGTAAATAGAATAACTGAGTCATAACGAAGAGAAGAAAAGTCATTAGGCAGTGTTTACCATTGAATTCAATTTAGATTTCTCCATCGATTGACTGGATCGAAGTGCTCGGTCTCAAATTGATATGACGGTTTCTTGTGCAGATGACTAGACGATGTCTGGTCATGTAACTTGAAGTCAATTGGATGATAGTGACCAGCAGTGGAATCCAGGATAACGCACAATCCGTCCTAATTGGGGACTGACTCGTCAACTGGATGGACCTGCATTCCTGCAATGAGTGATGGCGTTCCCCCTGAGGCCCATATACAGCGCCAATAGTCTCAAACACCGAATTGTTATCCACTAGACCACTTGGGCCACGAAGACCAAACTCTTGTACGACGAGTCTTGTTAATTATTTAATTTAGATTTTCTCTTCGAATGTTTGGACCGAAATGGTCGGTCACAGGTTGACGATTCCCGAATAGGACGAAATGTACATCATGGATTCCAATGATCCATGTAAAAAACCGTGGACTGAAATTTCGGCCCTCATCTGAATCAAAGAATCTTAATTGTTACTTTGCTGATGAGCCACAACACAGCTCGTATACACTAAAAATGTTAGTTATTCGCCATGTAAAAGAACTACAGATTCCCGGTCATTTCTGCTTTCTCCTGGAGGAATAATCACTGCCATTTCAGTCCGTCTTCTCTACATGTTCTTGAGTCATTAGTTATTACTAACCAACCAACAATGTGTTGAAGTAATGTCTGTCTGGATTCAACATAGAACTTGGCACCGAAGTGTAGGTGAATAAAAGCAGTCTTTAAATGTTGATTTGAAGCGATACGATTGGTTGCATACAACAGTCGAATGGCCTTGAACCAACTAATCACATCACTCAGAACTACAATTTAACGCGTTTCATTATCTTCACTGCAAGTTTCACTCTGATTCAGGGGATTAGGGTAGTGTTAACACAGGGTTGGGCTATTGGTTAAGGTTAGTGTGAATCTTGTGACGATGATTATGAGTAACATCTATTCGAAATACTGAGCACTGGGACTATCGTTATCAGTGGATCTCGTAACTGGCACTCATATAGATTTTGGTCTGTTTAGCATAGTCGCTCATATGGAAAACTAAGGCCACCTTTTGCAGCATATTAGAGACACATACCCTTTCATTTTCTTCACATATATATATATATATATATATATATGTATATGTATATATACTAAACAATATTTGTATACTATAAATACCACTTTTTATCAGACACCTCATGATTGGCTGGTACAACGTCATTTGGCCATGGCATCTATTCTTACCTGTTGCCTATTACATCATTCGAGAATAAATGTAATGCTCATTGGTGACTGAATCATGGATTAAATCACTGGAGTTTAAGAAAGACATTTTCACCTATGTGATTCAACAGCTTGGTGATGATATACACATCATAAACTGACAAGAGTTGGAACTCATCGTGATGGCATTCAACGACAGTCGATGAAGACTCGACGACTTCTCCTCGCAAACTGAAGGCTTGGACGGATGATCATGGGTGCACACTGAAAACTGAAGAGCCTCAAACCATGAGAAAACAACTGTCTACTACATTGTCATTTTCCATGATTCCATAACTAACATCAATACGGGAATTAACTTGAAAAGAAGTCTTCCCAAACTCAAAACAACCCAATTCGAAGGAGTCCTCAATCAAGGCATAATACAGCTATTTCAAACTGAAAAAACATGATTACAAGAAAAGACATTCGAAGGGATACTGTTTTCTTAGAGGTTTGTTCACGGATTGATATCAGTTCGAGAACCATTATTGAAAACAAGCCTTCAACTACTGGACAGCTGTTTTGTCAGCCTAGTTTCAAACTCACCAGAAGTACGCAGTCACCTATCCCCCAATCCCGCTTCGAACCCAGAACCTTCCAGCTACAAAGTGAGCTCGTAGACCATTCGGTCACTGAGACCCAACCTACATCACCCGTCTTAATGGGGTTTATTATCATTCAAAACTTAGAAGAATTCTCAGTCAATGGAAAGGTACCACCAGGCTCTGACTATCTAATTTCATCTGTGGTAGTTAATGTTAAAAATGTGTCAGTTGTAGCACTGAAGTTTATCAATGCATTCAAACAGATTCGCTTCTTTTCGCTAGTGCTCTCTACTTCGTCCAATTACAATGTCATATGGACGCTGTTTACATATACATAGAATCATATTTAGAAAAAGTGTTTGATAAACAAATTTAAGAAATAGTCAATCAAAAGCACCTTCATGAATAGTTTTGATGTGTCGATTGCGTGCAGTTCGTGCTGAAAATTTCTTATCGCATAAATCACACGTGTATTTCATTCCTGTTGAAATAAAGAATAAAATAAGAATAAATAGGTGGTAATGTGATAATCAATAAATACAGTAAGGGTATTATCGATTACACACACACACACACACAGACAGCTGGGCTGACCACTTGTGGTTAGTGCAATGATATCAGTCAGGGTTTCAAAGGTCACTTGATAGATCTTTGGATTATCAGTAATTTACAAGCTAGAGGTTAGAATTCTGGCCTTCAAATCATGTGTGAACATGAAGTCTAATTATCAAAATTAGTTATACGTCATTGCCTCAAATCCATGTGTGCACTACTTTTTTATATCGTTAACTTGTAACGACGGGAGACAAGGGCCGCCAGGCAACAGATCGTTTATTGAGAAAATCAACACATATTTATATATACATTGTACATGTACATTATTATTTGTTACTATTAGCAGAGAAACAGCGTCTTCCGATTGCTTGTGTCCTCGCTGAAGGTTATTCTGTCATCTGCTTGCGGCCACTTTTTTCAAGGTCAGACAATATGTCTGCGAATCGCATCCGCCCACGCAAAGTCTGCTGTTATTAGTTGTTCAGTTAGTCTTTGTTCGTGTTCGTGTTCGGAAACACTGACATGAAGTGCTGTCTACCAATTTTAGCTAGCAGACAGCTCTCATCACAAAGTAAGTGATTATCGAAAAGCGACCATTAATGCGAAGAAGTCTTCCATTTCGACTTGTATTCCACGACACTTTCTATTTTGATGAAGAAATCCAACGACAGGGAGATTTATCCGCTTCGTGGAGACTTGCATACTGCCTACAAAAACTGTAGTGAAGTGTCTTGAATAAATTCTCAGTAATTCTGTTGACGAAAAAATGTCGCGCTTACGACCAGGATAATTGTGAGGGTAAACTTGAAGGTGGCATTTTTTTTCTCTGAATTTCGTTGATCAACATAGTCACCAAACAAACTGACATATGTTATATATATTGATTGTATCAACTAATGTGCAGCCAGAATCAAGATTGGTATTCGATCTTCCACAGGATTGGACTACACTGACTTCTAGCTTAGAAATAGGGAGTGAAGTGGTTGGTAGAGCGTATTGACCATTTCACTTATTTGGAAAGTTTCATTAGGCAGAGTCAATGGGTTGGTCACTGACGAAATCTCAGAACGAATACGGAAGGCTGTCAGTTTACACTGTCTCTGGCGTAGACGTGATATCCAGCTGGCTGTCAACCAAAGGATATGTGCACTGCTCATCAGTCCGCTCCATCCCCCTTTATGCCAGCCAATGAGACCTGGACTTTGAGAGTGGAAGACATGAAAAGATTAGTTGTCTTTGATCATAGATGCCTGCGCTCTATCTCCAGTGTAAAGTGGTATAACAAGGTGAGCAATACTGAGGTGAGGCATCGGTCCAGTGCTAGGTAAGTGAGGTGGAAAATCAGTAGACGAGGCTGTAAAGTAACATCGATTGAGATGGTTAGGGTATGTGTTACGTATGCCTAGCCATCACATTCCTCGACAATGGGCAATGTTACCTGATATAGGGTCAGGTCGGAAAACGCGGCTTCATCACTCAGTCAATGAAATCCACAACAGTCAGTTTAAGCCACATCGGAAGGTGTAGATTTCGTGGTTGTGGTTATCGGGACGGTAAAAACTAATGGCTGGAGACAATTAGTGACATGGCTTAAAGTGATCGTTGTCAATGGCTGGCGCAGATGCATCCACTCTTTGTGACTTATAATATCCAATGGAACTATATTGTTCTTCGATATTACTATTCTTTTTGCTTCATATCTCTGTTCACTGTCTCTATTTTGCGTTTCTTTTTAATTTCTTCTCTTGCTCTGTGTGCTACATGGAATGAGTGTGGCGACTCGAAGTGTCGCACATCGGTGCAAAGTTCTATATTGAAACCAGTCACTCATTCAGTCAATAAACAAAACATAAAGTCGGGCTCATCACTCTGAGACCGTTATTGTGTTGCTTAACATGATGCGTAAATGATTGGAAACGCACGACTAAAAGATTATTCTCTGCTGCACAAAAGTTAAGTTTCTGAAAACTCGTTACAATCACTGGAGCACTCGGTCGGAGAGAGGAGTAGTAGCTGAATCCAAGGAAAATCAGAAACTATTGGAGTTCAATTAAAGCTACCAAACAACCAGAAGGTTAGTATTAGTGAGACAGAAAGCAAGAGAGTGAACAATCTTCAAAATATATAGCTTTGATGTGTACAGTATCATGAAACACAATTTACCACACCTACAAAATCAATACTGACCATGGTGTAGGGGATAGTTTCAATTGTCCAATTACTTATAGTGTTGTCTTTGGAGGCGCATTCTAGTCGAGGTAGACAACCCCCCCCTCCCGCCTCCGACACACACACACAACTCAATAACAATCCATCATAAGGAAACCCGAATTCCAACTAACTAGCTACTTGACTGAAAAAAATCACCACCTAATACGAGAAGTCGAAGGAAGTTATGCTTAGTCAATAACCAATACATTTTTCACTGTAAAGCAAAATATTTCTGAATAACTGTCCTTTGTAATAACAGATAATAATTTAACATTATTCTTCGATGAATAAAGAAACATAAATAAAACTTTCGAAATAAGAAATAAACGAACCTCTATGTTTATTATTCACATGTTCCCTTAGGCTAGTCATTTTTACAAATCCATTGCCACAAATGTCACATTTAAACGATAAACCTGTAAACGATAATTTAAGACCAGGATTTGAAAGCGTGCCTTTCACAAGGCTATGCAAAAAGGCAAATTTAAACAAAAAAGTTCTTAGAATTATCGATTAGTCCTTCAAGATAAGACATATACGTATCACATAATTCTAACGAGAGAGAGAGAAGGAGAGAATGCCGGAATGGATGGTAAAAGGATATTTACCAACTAATATGCAAGGCATGACAGAGAAACCGAAATTACCGATGTCCTACTGACGCAGAAACCGCTCCATTTAATGCAGTTTTGTGGTTCCCACCTCCTAAAAAACGTTTTTCTTCTTTACATTCGTGGTTAAGATTATGACTTATTCTGACCTTATAAAATGCGAATTCCGATAGAACTATATGCTAAGGTGAATGGTCAGTCGTTTGGAGCACTATGTCCTAGGAAGCTGCATCGTTAAGCCAATTGTTTCCTTCAAGCAGTTACCACGAATACCGTTAACATATAACATAACCGTTGATTGTCATTTTATTCTGTTAAGAGTACCACCTTACAACAATTTTGAGTTGATAGTTGTTGAATCATGATCCCTACAAAGACTATTTTGAAGCACTGGCTTGTGATGACACTGCCTCAGATTTTTGTGAGAATTCCCGCCCATTTGAATCCATCACTTCAGATGTGAAGACAAATCCATGGATCGGACAGAGATTAGATTCTCGATTCTAGGTTTTAGAATCGCCATGCGACTCGCCTTGTAACCTGAAGGTTATCGGTTCGATTCCCAATGGCATTGTTTTTTCTGAATGCACATTATCTCTCATTGATTTTAATCCAATATCTAGTCAATTCCACACATGTATATAAATGAAGGAAAAATGTTGTGTAACTCGATATAATTATGAGTGGCAATAGTTTGTGCTCGAAACGTCATCAGTTAATATTACCGTATAACACTGAGTGATTTATCAAAATAAAATCTGATGCATACACTACCATATTCCTCAAGATATGTACTTATATCCCAATGGCATCGTATGTACCGATGAAGAGTACGAAACTGGGGCGAAACATTATCCAGCACCTCCTGATTCTCTAAATGAAGCCCATACGAGATAGAAAAACCTCTAACGATAAGTATCAACTATGAAAATGAACTCAACTGTGAACAGAGGCGCTCATATACGTCTTTGAATACAACACAGGATGTTGTTGTAAGTGCAAAGAAAAACAGAGAGTCAGAGGCTAAACTAATCAATAAATACTCTGAAGGAGATAAACAAAAAAAGGAGAAGAAAAATAACTGACTAACCTTCATGAACAACTCGAACGTGTTCATTCAAAAGGGATTTATTGCAAAATTGCCTTCCACACTGATCACAAGACAATTTCATGCCTTTATTGTTATTGAGTAAATGAATGAATGAAAGTGAAAGAGAATTTTAACAATTTAATGTCAGAGCACAGTAGGTGAATACTTTGACGGGAAAAATATAATAACGGAAAACAAACATCTGCCTCTCCTAGACATCGGGGTAATAGTTACTCCATATAAGCTAATCAAGGATTACACTGTCAGTTAATATCCATCATCAGTGATAAACGGATAATACTTGATTCGTGTGTTCCTACTGACTAATTAATGGGGAACTAGGAATACCGGTGTTGCTTATTCTCACGTACAATACTCCAACACATGACAATACAGCATTAATCACTTAAACAGCCTCGATATGTTCCTTTGGGAAAGGAGGAAGAATGACCAGAAACTATAGCCACTTAAATAGTTAGTTTACACAACGAACAACTTACCACAGTATAGTACATGAAACACGTGTTTCGACTAACCAATAACGCACCTATTATAAAGATAATCAGTTTACATAGGAACCATCCATTGTTCTGTTCTAACGGTTAGCAATAGAATAGAATATAACTTCTGTTAACACTCTGACTGACTGGTTTCAACATATAGAACTTTGCAGAGAAGTGCAACAGTTCCAGTTGCCACTCTCTCTCGCTCTCTCTCCATGCAGCACACAAAGTCACAGAAGAAAGCAGAGACACATTCATAAAACGGAGATAATAAACACAACTGTGAGGGAGAAACAACAGAGTTTTATTCGATATGACAAATGAAAAAGAGTGGATACATGTGCTCCGTTATAAACGAATTCGGGCCATATCACCAATTGTCTCCAGCCACTATTGGTTCTTACCTTACCAACGATCCCAACCAGACAGACGGCCAGTCAGCCTACACCTCCCTACTTGGCTGGCTGGCTTAAACTAACTGTTATGGATTCCGTGAACTGATGTCATGTTTTTGTTTGACCATTACCAACTCTCCTCCAACCTAATCTCATATATCTGTCAGCTAACATTCCCCGTTGAGGGAGGCGATGTCTAGGCTAGGTATGCATAACACATCCTGACCATCTGAATAGATGTAAGTTCACAACGTCGATGATTGATTTTCCCTCCAACCATTTCACACGGGAGATAGAAGGCAGACGCCTATGATCAAGGACAGCTAGACAGGCTTTACCTACTTTAAAATGACCATGTCTCACTCACAGCCAGCCAGCCATAAAGGAGTACGAAGCGGAGAAACTGTTGAGCAATACACAGTTCCTTTCGTCGACAGCCAGATATCATATGTACGCTAGAGATGGTGTAGGTGGGCGAATGTCAACCTTTTAACCTTCAAGATGTATCAGGTACCAGCAGAAGGTGGTATGCAAGCCAGATATACTGCTTTTCCGCGTTCTGAAAACGTAGGGGTTGGAGAAGATTGACCTCAAAAATTATACATTCCAACTTACCTTGTGGTGATTCGCATCCAGTGGTAACATCTTAATACAGACACAACTCCCGGAAAACCACACTTACCCAGGCTCAAACAGTTGACCTGTAAGCTCTGCAGTCATGCAACACACACACACACAATAACGCTACTTCTGTTTTGAAGTACCCCAAAAAGAAATCATCTTCCGCCGGTGGGCATCCGCAAAGTAACCATCGACCACATTCTTTCATAAGCACAATAACCTACGATAAAGTGGGACTTTTGTGATAACTGTCTCTCCTGATGAACACGGGATGTGGACTTGAACCCATTCTGCATACGTCAATCAGCATGATTTAAGTATTATTCTAAAGACCATCACCAGAAGACACTAACACTTCTGATGAGAATTACATTCACAGTTAAGATCGTGGATGCACTAATTGATATTGAAAGAAAAATCTACGACATTGTACGGTACGACAAAAGATTCTTTCCACAACTTTACTTCACAAAGCTGTCCGGCTAGGTATACAGTATTGCAAAACGTCAGGAAAAATAAAAAAATTATAATACCTAGAAACATTAAGCAATGAATACCACTCAAAAATGGTGATTACCATTGAAGCTAAAAACCCTTGGGGACAACAATACTCCTTATAAGAGTAAGAAATTCAGAAGATAAATGAAGTATATTTTAAAGTAAGAAGTGTGCAGGAAAAGAATTATGTTTTAATTGTTGTTATTTCCTTGGGTTTCGAGTGAAACATAGGGTTTCATTTCTATTTTCTGCTGTCCTCTTCAACTGGGTAAACAATATTCCATCTCCTCCTCCCCTAAACACGATCTCCTCCATGTCACCCTCGCACCGGCGACCCACTCTTCACCTTCCACTCAAGCATTGGTCTGCATTGTGCGCAATTTCATTCCATGGCCTCCTCAACATATATCCGATTCATCCCCCATTTTCTCCCACGCATTTGTCGAGCAATCGGCTCCTAGTTTGTGTTCCCAACCAGAGCTTCTTGTTGCTGACTCTTTCCGGCCATTTGACCTGTAATATAGAGCCCGCGAAGACACTGTTGGTAAAAGTCTGTAATTGGCTGTCGGAAATCCTTTTCGTGACACGCAGTGCAACTTTCTCACCCGTATAGAAGAACTGACTAACTGACTTCACATTAATGTTGACAATCCAAATCTTGTTATTTACGCTCAGTTAGTTCAGAAGATTTCCAAACTGGTTTCAGGTTGGTGAAGGTGTATGTAACCATGCTTCCTAGATAGGTGAAGGCAAGAAGTGACCCCTGTTCAATCTCTCCCACTGATGGTGGTGATCGGCGCCGGTTGTTGTTGTTGTAAGTTGATTGGTCACCTTTCTTCATCACCTTCGTCTCCTCTATGTCAACCACTTGGAGGTCTGTCTTGGCTGCACTGCTTCTTCAACCAATTTGTTGGTTAGAATAAGTGCAGGAAAATAACGAATGAATAGCGATGGATTACAAGCAAAATTATTTAAAGCTGACAAAAATAAACACACCAGTGAAACAGACCGGTTAAACCACTTCGGTGTACAACATTCTCGGCTGTTTCTTCTGCGCATTAACAACTTTCGATGTGGAAAAACGTACACTCAAGAGCCACTCCGAAAAATTTGACTGAAGATTTTTTTCCATTAAATGCGGAATATGATTTGTAAGAACAAGAGTGCTGAAGTATCGAGTAGTTGGTTTGTCCACTTTCTCTTTACTCTATATAAATATCCTGAAGCCCACTATATTCCCTTGGGAACGTAAAGGAATAAACCATCTAACCTTTCCAAACATTCTTTATTTATAACTGTACAACTTTGAAGCGAATTTACGAAAAGACTATTCTCCACTGGCTGACACCAAACGACATGAATATTTTTCATACAAGTAAAATAGGCCATAAGTTGAAAGCATCACAAAAACAATATAAGAGACGCAGATATTTTCTCACCTTGATGAATCGCTTTTACATGTCGGCCAAGAGTAGTTTTTGAAGCGAATTTTTTATCACATTGTTCACAAGGAAATGCTATGCCTATATAAATAATAATAATAAAATAATAATGCCACAGGGAAAAGAGTATAAGCCAAGAAAATTACGTAACAAGCACGATTGACTGGATGATATACACTAGAGAAAGTAATTCATTAAGAGTTCGGTTAGTAGTAATGGTCGACAATAACTTAAGTAGCTCAAGGGAACGGATTTCACCCACACCGATGACATTATCACCGATCTAATTATGTAGGATTAGTCTGAAAAGAAAAGAAGGCGGGACGGGGAATAACATGAAATGAAATAATTCTGTGAAATCCTAAGCAGACAACACAGTGTCCCGAGGACTTTTAAATGGGACCAAATGCTCATCCTGCGCTCCACTACCATTCAATATTCAACAAAAATTACTTCAGGTTAATTATCAAAATCGGAGTTTAACTAAATAATAGTCGATTTTCACGGCGCAAGAGGTGGTAGCTCTCAGGGCCCAATACAAACGTCAAGTCATTTCTCCTATAAGGATCAGAAACTTGGCGGGCGGGTCACAAAGAATATTTCCAACAGCCTGTTGCAGACCTTCATCAACCAACAACTATCTTCGCTCTATATTGAAGATCAGATGACCGGGCCGGAAAGAATCACCAACAAGAAACTATGTGAACAAACAAAACAAGAACCAATACCCGCCCAACAAATATGCAGGAGAAAGTGGAAATGGACTGAATGGCCGCTGAGTGACATCGAGCGACAGGCCATCTCTCGAGTGGATCACGAAAGGGAAGCAGCGAGTGGGACGTCCAAGGGTGACATGGAGGCGATAGTGTGAAGAGGAGTTGAAACAGTATGGACTAACATGGATGCAGGTGAAAAGTACAACAGCAGCAGACAGAAGCAAGTGGAGACGTGCAGTTGAAGCCCTATGGGAACAATCATAACCATAAATAATAATAATAGTGCACAAGTTATATTCATATATCAGTGAGTTACAGATTCGAAACCCAGTCCACCAACCGAAGTTTAGGCAGTCGATCACTATTCAAAAGGCCTCATACAATGACGTGTGGCTTATTGTCAACTGTACCGAATTGTAGTTGACTGAGCTGAGCTTATTGTCTTCCAGGATATTCATTAGTTCAATGGTCGATACAAAACATAAAATAATTTAGGCATGAGGTTAGTCATACTCCGTTTCATGTTATCGAATTCGCACGAATGACAATTTCACTGGCTTATCGTGGAGGCCATATGATTACAAATAAGTCGATAGATAGAAGATGAAGAAAGAGAACTATGAGAGGAAGATGATAAAATACTCAGGTCAAATATAAACAGAGTCGAATTACTTCTCTGTTGGCAGGATTATCCTTCTACACCTAGGGCACTAATCCCCTTACCAATTGAGGTTGACTTTGTGATTAAGATTAAGGCAGTTCAAACAGACATGATCGACTGTATGCAATTTAGTCACACAAATGTTCTTATTCGTTAGTGAACGTTATTTGATAGTTCATTGATTCACTATTATTATAATTGTTTCCTTGGGTTCCGAATGGAACACAGGGTTACAACAAAACATCTTCACATTGGCCTATTCTCTCGGTCCTCTTCAGCTGGTCGCACGACTGCACATACTTCCCACCTTCTCCTTACACGGTCTCCTCTATGTCACCCTCACACCCACGCCCGACTCGTCGTTTCCCATTTGTGTTTCAATCGATTACTGGCCTGCATTTAGAGCGATGTCAAACGACAGTCTCCTCAATGATTTGTTTCCAATCCGTCTCTGTTTTCATCTACAACAATAGGTTCCTGGGTGATTTTTCCCACAGTTTCGTATCACTAATTGCTCCTAGCCAGTCATTTGATCTTCAATTTGCAATTTGATCAGCACATGATTTACTTTTCCTGAATCCAGCTTGTTCCGGCTACCTGGTGAAGTTCTGCAACCAGTGCAACTTTCAATATCTTCAGAATGAAGGGAATCAATGTTTTGCTTGGTGTACACAAGGTCACGACTCCACGCCAGTTTTTGTGGAAGCCTAAATAACCTTCCTCCTTTGGTAATTTAACAGGACGACCATCCTTCAAATCAGTATGTAACTTTCCTTCTTCTCAAATTTCTTGTAATATTGACTTCAGTATATTCACCACCGCTTTCAGTGCTTCAGGAGGAATTCAGTCCGATCCTGCTGCCTTCCCGAACTTCAACAGCTTGATTCGTATAGGTCACTCTACTCTTTCTTTATTTATATTTGCTATCAACAAACTTATCTTTTTCTTCCTGATTCAAATTAATGAGTTTGCTTAGTGTGAATATGGATTCTTAAAATGAAGAGATATATAATTAGAAGTAGGAATGCAAAATATGTGTAACACTATCCAATAAAGTTATACAGCATACATAGAGATCAGAACTATGAGCCGGAAAAAGTTCTTAAAAAATGATTTAATAACATAAGACACAACTGATTCACTTGATGTAAACGTCATCCAGTGTACATTGTTTCGATACTGGGGAGTAACCAGTCTGGTGCTGTCTAATCCTGAAGATTTACTCAATTCAAGCTTGCATGCAATCTAAGCTACCAGTCTAGGAGAACTTGTCATTGTGAGACACATTGGAGAGATGGTGGACTGATAGTTACAGGTGATCACTAGTAAGCCTTTACACTTACACAGGCTTTTTGCTTATTGGCGCACATATGCAATATGTACATGTAACCTGGGAGAAGCTTATATGTCACTGTCACCCACCCCGCCTGGGATTCCAACCTGTTTCAACCAGTACTGCAGTCAGGGATATCTTTTAGAATCACCTAAGGTATGGTGGAACGTTACACACTACATGATATGTCTCCAATATCCACAGTAATCAAAATCAAGAGGTGAAGCTGAAAATGCAACAACTGTAAAACATGACGGACACCCTGATTATAATCCGATAAGGGAAATCTATGAAACAGGAACCTAACAACTGATGTTTCACGATTTACTTCTTTTACACTCTCCAAAAAATAAAGGAGAATTGTTAAATTATGCTTCCGTTGTTATTTATTTTCTCTACTGGTAACATCGTCAATATGAAACCATACTTTAATCCGGGAATATTTTCAGAACAGTAGCACCCATTTTCCAGTACATGTTGGCTCCTTATGCAGATGCTTCAACGATGTGTCTAGGGATTTAACTTAAGGTAATTTGTTAGGTGGTGACTACTAGTGAAATCCAGGATAGCGCTAATTTCGAACTATTTGAAACTTGTCATCAGAATGTACCTGAATTCCCCAGAGCATTTAAAACGATGGTTAATGAGTTCGAGCCTCGGTGGGAACAGCATCACTCATTGGGCGGTGCAGGTACATGCAGATGATGAGTCATTTCCAAATAGGACGAAATGCGAGTTATCCTGAATTTCACTTCTAGTCAAACCCCCCTTACTATAAATTATCTCAATGGAATTAACCTCCAAATGACTTAAACTGAGTCCGTGGCTCAGTGGTAAGAATGCTCGCCAACCACACAGGAGGATCAGTTTCACATCATGGCCAACTCACTCCTAAACTTCATCTAGTTTACTACCAGAAGTAAACCATGAAGGGCGGTAGACAGAGGATGAATGTTATCAGTACACAGTATGCTGATAAATACTTCGCCAACCAATTAACACCTATTTTTATCGAATTACTTTCGATAGTTGAATACAACTATAAAATTGAAATAGAGTCAAATCACAACCTAACAACCTCTTTAGCGACCTAAAAGGAGACTATCTGACAATGACCTTGAGAAATACCTGCTTACCAGTCACACGAGTACGCAGTAAAAGCGCGAAATTTTAAAAGACAGCTACATAAGGTAACGTCCCTGTATGTGTTGCAAGAAAACTTCCCCATTTCTCATTGGACTCCTCATTGATAGGTCAAACCAATTTCTACACATAAATCCATCCAGATAACAACTGTAAATCAACGTTTTTCTTGACCCATTTACTGCTGTGATCCTCTTTATTAAGTGACTATATAAACTTTCAATGGGATTTGTAAGAGTCCCACTGAAATGATTAACAAAATCGTCTTCATGAGTGACCACTACATTGTGAATATAACCCAGGAATGAAGGTTGGCCGTAGCTACTCCATTAATCTGTGTGCATGGCTGTCTCTGAGAGAACTAAACGCTGAACAGGTATTAAAACATCAGCGCTATGAACAGGTATCGTTTGGACGTATCCCTTCAGCAATATGGTGTCACATAATCTTGAAACCCACTGCTGATTGCTAGTCAGCCAACCGCGATTACATTTCCTTTTGATCAGTACAATCTCGCCCACATGAACAGCTACGCCGATGCCACTAAGTAGCTGGGTCATATTGTTCATCTTCTACAAGGTTATATCTCTGCAGTCCTGATACCGCTGCACTGCAGACACCTGTGAATTTTCCATTTCCAGCCTCGTTGCTATAACTGGTTTTTTCAGGACCCAGTTGTGGCACATCATCAGAGTTTTGGTCAAAGGTAACTTCAACTTGGCGACGAAAGTACTTAAAGTATCCATAAACCAAAAAAGGGAATAACATACCTTCTTAAACAGATATTCTGCTACAGCAATCTGGCCATCTATTCTAAACAAATGCATCAATTTCAGCTGCATTACTCCTCCATATCTACATTTCCTACCCCCTTCCCATGATTCTATTATCCTAACAGTACTGAAATATTAGATTTAGATTAAATCTGCTCCTCTAGGGCATCCAGAATTCCGTCTATATACTACGGAGTCATCTGATTGGTTGTCCAAGGTCATTGCGTCAGTTTATTATTAGCTGGATTCGTTTTTGGTCGATATGGTTTAGAGTGACCCACGTGTATAACAAAAATACACCTCTAATACAATAATAAAAAAGGGGAGTTAACACGTTCACAGATATACACAGGTGATTACATAAAAACTAGCAGCTTACCTTCATGAATTACTTTCATATGTTCATTTAAACAAAACTTTGTAGTGAACTTTCTATCGCATTGATCACATGGATATTTAATTCCTGAAAAAAAATTCAAATACCAAAAATTAAAATTGATAAAGGTAGAGCTGGATTGGTATTTGTGATGTTGTTTTCACGAGGTGGAATGACCATCCAACTCCCACACTTTTCCAGGTTTACTACTGGTTGAGAGAAGTTTACGAATATGTTGGCTGAAGGTCAAACCTCGGATCAAGTACACACCTGGCAACCATCCATCCTAACACTATAACTTTGACGCTAAAGAAAATAAACTATAAATGTGATTATTATAATCCTCTCGAGATCCGAGTGGAACATAGGGCGTCCTCATCAGGTCGGCTAGCCACACGATTGCCCATTATCTCACATCTCCTGCTCACCACACGATCTCCTCTGTCACCCTCACATCGACGACCCACTAAACACTTCACATTCGGATTCCACTCCAGTGACGGCCTAATGCGCGATGTCATTTAACGGTCTCCTCACTGTATGCTCAATCCATCTCCTCTTAAATATTTATTGAGCAATAGGCTCTTCGTTGGTTTGTTCATCGCCAGAGTTTCTTGTTGCTAATTTTTTCTGACCAGCCGGCAATTTTATCTTTAGTATAGAGCCAGAGAAGGGGGCAGCTGTTGATAAAAGTCTGTAACTTATTGGAAATCCTTTTCGGGACACACAGTAAAAGTTTCTGACTCATACAGAAGAACTAACTGACTGACTTCATATTTGTGTTGAACACGATCCGAATCTTGTTGTTTATGCTGGCTAGCTGAGTGAAAAAGATGAAAGGTGAACTTGACATTTTCACCCACGCTATTACCTGTGGTTGTAACCATGCTTCTAGATAAGTGAAGGAAGTAACCTCTGCTAAGTATCTCTCTTTTTCACCCCGCTCCAAGTCTGCCCACATGCTTTCATCTCCTCTTCACATGACCTCCTCCAAGTCGACCTTGGACGACCAACTCGCCACTTCCCTTTCGGGTTCCACTCAAGGGCTTGTCTAGTGATGTCACTTGACGGCTTGTTTCCTCAGAGTATGGCCATTCCATCTCCATTTTTTCCTGCCTATTTGTTTCACAATCGGTTCCTGGTTGGTTTGCTCCCAGAGATCCCCGTGTTGCTGATCTTTTCTGACCGGCTATCTGATCTTGAGTATTGAGCGAAGACAGCTGTTCATGAAGGTCTGTGGTTTGTTTGAGGTGCTCTTTATGACGCGCTGACCAAGTCTCTGAACCGTATAGTAAGTAGCACTGACTTCACATTGGAGTTGAAAATCGGGATCTTATTTTTGATGCTGAGTGCTGTTGACCTCCACACAGACTTGAGAGTAATGAAAGCTTGTCTTGCTTTTCCGATCCTTGCTGTGATGTCCTCGTCAGTTCCATCCGCCTGAAGTTGAAAAGATGCTTCCCAGGTAGCTAGTAGGTAGAGGATGTTGTTTCTTTCAGGTTCCTCCTATTTATGCTGATTATTGTCTGTTGTTGTTGTTGGCCAGGAATCTTCATCACCTCTGTTTTATCTATGTTCACCTGAAGTCTTGTCTTCGCTGGATGCTTCTTATGCCGACTTGTTGCTTTTCACTTGCATATCTTCCAATTTCTGGGAAATCAGACATATATCATCGGTGAAGTCGAGATCCTCCAAGTTTTTTGTGTGAGTCCATTTTATACCTGTTTCCTCATTGCCCGTTATCTGTCACATTATCCAATCTACTGCAATCAGGAAAATCATTCGAGATAATAGACAGTCTTTTCTTACTCCCGGATTCACTTCGAAGGATTCCGTAAGCTTCCCGTTGTGGATTACTTGGCATGAGGCATTATCGTATAACTGTTGGAGGAGATGCATACTTGTCGGCGGCACCCCGTAGTAGCGAAGTAGTTGCCAAATCACCTCTCGATCGACGCTGTCGAAGGCCTTTTCAAAGTCGATGAAGTTGATGAGGTAGAGAGGTGACTGCCATTCCAAGCTTTGCTCAATGATGAAACGTAGTGTGGCGATTTGGTCAGTACATCATTTGTTTTTCCTGAATCCAGCCTGTTCCGGTCAAAGTTTTTCATCCGAGGCTTGTTTAACTCTCTCTAGGATAATGCGGCTTAGTATTTTGCTTGGAATGGACAGGTGCATAATTCCGCGCCAGTTTCTGCATTGACTTAAGTCTCCTGCCTTCGGTAGTTTGAATACGTAGCCTTTCTTCCAATCCTCGGGTACTTTGCCCTCTTTCCATACCTTCTCCAGTAGTGGTGTCATCAAGTCCGCTGTTGCCTCTGGGTCCACTTTCAATGCTTCTGCTGGGATTCCATCTGCTCCTGCTGCTTTTCCAAGTTTAAGCATCTTGATTGCATTCAGGACTTCTGATTTCGTTGGGGGGTCAACGTTCACTGGTAGATTTGGTTTCGTTGTTGGTATAGTTGGGCGCGTTGTAGGTGGAGGTCGATTTAGAAGTTTTTTGAAGTGCTCAGTCCAGCATATCCTTCGCTCCACCTCTTTGTTGATTGACTTTTCCTTGTCATCCTTTACTGACTTAATTTGTTTTGATCTTTTCCCCGATAGGAACCTAGCTGTTTTGTAGAGTGTTGAGAGGTCTCCTTTGCCTGCAGCTTGTTTGTTCTGCTTCACTTATCATGGCTTCATAATATTTTCTTTTGCCTTCCCTGGCACTCTTCTTTACTACTTTGTTCAATGTGTTATAGCTTGCATTCAACTCCTGTTTTTGTTGCTCGTCAGTGCACTGGATAATCTTTGTTTCACCATCTTTCTCTCTTCTATTAGTTTCCAAGTGTCCGTAGTGAGCCACTGTTTGTCCTGTCTCTTCTTTCTGCCTAGAACTTCCATGCAGGTTTGACTCCACACCGTTTTCAAGTTCTCCCAGTGCTTTGCGACGCTGACATTTTCGCTGGTGTTGATTTGTGTCTCGGTTTTTTCCCTTATGTTTGCAATGAAGATGTCCCAGTTTTTGAGTGTTTAACTTGGCTTGTGGTCTATCTGCAACTCCTGTTTCCCTGAAAGCTTTTAATTTGATTTCGATTGTCCCTTGTACGAAATAGTGGTCTGAGCCAACGTCTGCTGCTCTTCTCACTTTTGTGTCCAGTAGGCTGCACCTCCACTTCCTTGAGATTGAGATGAAGTCAATTTGGATTTTGGTTCGCCCATCTGGTGACACCCATGTAGCGTTGTGGATATTTTTATGTTTGTATACACTGCCACCAATCACTTGTTCGTTAAAGGCGCAGAAGTCGGCGAAGAGTTCTCCGTTTTCATTCATTTCTCCGAGAGCTTCTCTACCCATGATGAGTTCCCTTCCTGTGTTGTGTGATCTCAGTTTGGCGTTCATCTCTCCCATTAGTATTTTAATGTCACCAGCTGGAGTATTGTCCATTGCTGCCCGTAGTTGTCTGTAGAATTCTTCTTCCTTTTCGAGGTCGGCGTTGTTTGTGGGTGCATAGCATTGTATAACTGACACTTTCCTTCCTTTGGAGTCGAATCTGGCGGTCATTATCCTGGAAGAGATCGCCTCCCATTGCATCAGGGCCTTTGTTGCCGTTGATGACATCATGATAGCCGCGCTTTCGGTGTGCGTGTGGTTATCTTCTGGGTGAGCGGAGTAGATCACTGACTCATCCGTTGATAATTTCATGAGTCCATTCCCATTCCATCTGCTTTCACATATTCCTAGCACTTGTATTCCGTATCTTTAGATGCAATCGGCAGGACGTTTTTACTTAGGCTTCGTACTTTTTGGCACCCACTAGTCAGCAAGGTATATTTGCAACATTTGAAGGTATTCATGCCCTTACTGAGATTCAAAACTGTGTCACCCAGTGCCGCAGTCAGTTATCGACGCTATCACTGAGTTAATACAATTCTACAGGAAGTCAATCACGAGTCCGACTAGCTTAGTGGTAACGTCTCTGACCGACTGAAGGACTGAGTGACGTGAGTTCGATTCTCAGGCGGAATATAAGTTCCCTCAAGATTGCAGACAGGCGCTTCCAACGAGCTCTAACAAAGACGGAACCTAGGTGGAAGGCTTCCTAGCATTTTCCACCCTGACTTCCTACAAGATCCATCTACAGAAAACATTCATGGAATGGATAACGAACTAATTTTTATAGTTAGGTGTCTGTCTCCAGGCCCAGAAACTCTTTCTACTTTAAGGGCAAACAACATTTCTAGTTCTGTCTCCGTTTATCCATAGCCTTCCTCCATAAAATCCACGTTCACAGAAAACGGTTACCCGGACCGATTTATTAACAAAAACACAAAAGATATACAATCGAAACACATGACTGACTCAGTTCCGAAGAAGACCATCTTCGTGAATTTGGAATTCAAATGTGATTAGACTTCAGATATGCTCAAAACTCATTTCTCTAAATCAGTCAGTAGAACGTTCTTCGTGACAAAATTAAAAATGACCTTCGCCAGCCGCAATTTGTTCACTATCTCCGTAAAGAAAAGAAGGATGAGCAAACTCCATTCTAGAACGAAGCTTGCTCGACTCCTGTCACTCTACCAACCTTCACCATGATTTAAAGATGACCATCTATCGAACCCATACAAACTTACCAGGAGCGTTTTCTTGCTCATAAACTTCTAAAGACAGCGGACGCCTTAGCCATTCATGAATTTAAGCCAGACAGCTTTGTGTACAAAAGAAGTATGTTCAGTTCCGATTACTGTCTTGGCCGTCAAAAGGTTGGTTTGTAGGGATTTGATTGGTTACAGGATTTCATCATGAGCTGACAGTCGTTTCCCAATGGCTGTCTAACTAATGTCAATCAGCTCAGGATAAATATTTATTTGTTTATAGTTTTATTTACTTTTATTTTGGTTATTTAGTCAATCTATAAACCTTCCCGTTATAACTATGATTATTATTATTATATCATTATTATTGTTACCATTGCTATTCTCACGTTAAACTGTTCCCAGTATTATTTCACTTGTTATTCAAATCAAAATATTTCTGCAATGTTGGAGTATACTACTGAATGATCGGTATGAGTAGTTGGAAACCGTTCACTTCAAAACAG